GCTTTGCACTTTCGTTTAAGGAGAACATCAGTCCCCTAGTACATTGACGAACAAGTGACAGAGTGAATCCTTTCCACAAGGTAAACCCACTTTTCCGAACGAAGAAATACAAATAGGTCTTCTGGGTAACCGCAACTGAGAGGAACCAGTTATGAGAATCGCATTTTGTATCGTTAGTTGAATTTGGCGTTTATATGTTGATTATTCCATACATGAGGCTATGTGAATTCTTTTGTTTTCCGTCTCTAGTTCTGTGAACAGCGGTTATCAGGTGTGGCGGATATTTATGTGACAGTCAGAATTGTTTGTTTAACACGATAGCGAGTTGGCCGTTTGTCGTATTACCCTGTTCGATTCACTAATGTTTTGGAAAAAACTCAGTCACCTTGAGCTTTTTGGAAAAATATCAAATGATCCTGCTCGCGGTTTGTCAATGTAGAGGTAGATTTTCTCCCTTCTAGGCCAAACCCAACTAACTGTGTTACGTCGACAGCATCAACCAATGGCTTGATGTCTGGTAGTCACACTCAGCTGCAGAACAAATCTCATATCCAATAGTGACTTTTCGACCACACCACTAGAGGACTGTGCACTGTTATTGGCCAATGTGTCGCTCTCCTTGGCTGGATGTGCTCTTGCCTGTGTTAGTTATCACATGTGGTTCTGAATCACCAGTTAAGTCGTATGAATCTTCGTTGACCACAACATCGACACTAACCGCTGGCTAAGCTTCTTGCTCACTGATAGCCACAAGAGGGTGCCAAGTCTGCTCGTTGTCTAGCTTTGACCATTAGCTCTTTCATCATACCCTTCACGTTCCAACAAGGTACTTAGTTGAGGCAAGACTCCTCACGAACTTTCGATCGGTACTCTTATCTTGCAAATAATTAGTTTGGAAAAGTGCTGACTGTTGTTTATTTGCCTAGAGGATGGTAGGAAGACGAATAGGAAAGTGAGGATGAAAAACTCCAATACATTAAAAAAAATTTTTCACTATTTATTTGGTTTGCTTCCCCTTTATATGTCAGTCGCTAGTGAAGCTACTCACGCAGTTCTGTTTGCACGCAACACTTCTTGATTCAATAGGCTGCTATAGGGAGTTATTTTCTGTCCGTGATTCGCAGCCAGTATTTGACTATCATTATTCAAGCTTCACATAGCATTTCGTCTTGTTGCTTAAGTCAAGTTCCGTACCCAATTTAATTCAGTATTGACATACTGGACCTCCTCGACACCCGCCAACACAGTTAGAGCTCTATGTTGTGCAAATATATGATTGAATAAGATCTGAATTATATATCTTTTTGCACCTGGTTTCTGGGAAATTTTGGTGAACGCTCGTCTCTAGTTAGACTCTGATAATGAGGTACACTATGGTAGTGTCCCCATAAGGACCAATACTACTTCGCTCCTGTCACATTCTAGTCACTAAGCTCCACCTAGTACCGTAGGATCCCTACATCTCACGAGCTATCCTGTTTTATCTAGGGCTGCCGATGTAATCGTGGTGTTAAATGGCCCGGTGCGTACTTCTTTGAGGCAATTATGATTGAAGAGGGTTCAGTTCGACTTGGCTGGTCCACAAACAACGCAAACCTCATTCTAGGTACCGATTCAAATGGATTCGGCTACGGAGTGGATCAAGATGGTAAGTGAACGAAACAGTTTTCGCATATGGATTCGATTAACAAGTACAGCGTGTCGATTTTTCACCGACAAAATTTGTTTTAAGTCGCTAGTTTCCCTCGTCACTTGTGCCATTTGGTGGTCGAATCAAAAATTTCTTCACCGGTAGACCGAATAGATGTGCAATATTCCTGATCTTACAAAGGAATAAGAATGACGGACAGCAAGCTTGACTCAATGGCTTCTAACAACACTGATGACACCTATTCCAACAGACACAAATAAGTTGTAACCAACATCACCGATGTAGGCGAATTAGCTGGTCGTTTATACACATACGACATACACATGGTGGTGCAGATGAAGTCTTCACTTCTGCAGGACATAGTATTGATGAGGGTGTAAATCGGCACTGTTAAATCCTTTGGTGCTAAAATTACATTCGAGTCTAGTGGACAAATTATCTGAACTAGTCCTGAGAGCCTGCACCAGCACAACGAACACGGAACTGGATCGGCTGACAACTAGGACAACTGTCGTCCGTTTTCAGGAGTTCGTCATATAACGACTTTCTACTAGAGCCAAAAAGACCTAGTGTTGTTTGGGCTTCCATAAATATAAAGAAACTCCAGATGATTTTTCCTGCTATAGCATAGCGTCAAAATTAGTCCGGAGTGAATAGTCACACAATTGTTCTTAACGGTCCAGTCTCTTCACGAAGGACCCGATCACTACCAATCCGTCGGTTTGGATTTTTTACAAGTAATAATTGCAAAGTAATCTATCACGTCTCCCACCCTGACTGGGATTTATCAGACGATGTGGCGGGATTCTATCACTTGGGGTTCAGGTTCACAGTTAACACAAACGTAAAGCCGCACGCACGGGATATGTAGACGACTACTTGGTGTCGAGAGTAGGAATGTGAACTGTTGGTCCAAACATCAGCCAACCAAATCCTGTTATGTTCCCCTTGAGTGTTCCAGTTAGGATCAAACGTGCATTAAATTCCTCTTCTAGGGCCAGACACTTCTACTGGTGAAACTTTTTGATGATCTCAAGGGCTTTATACTGTGCTAGTGTGATCCTACTGAAACCTCGGACGAACTGTGCAAGTTAGAGCTGGTGGAATCACCCTACCAGAAGGCTCCTGGAACTGCTGCTGGGGAGGTTGGCTGAAGACGATCGCCAACGGGCTAAGTATGCTGCAGGAAGTGTTTCAACTGACGTTTTAAACATTAAACAAATTTATTCAGTCGCTGTAGGAGAGTGGTTGGTACATAGTGTTTGAGATGTATAGCAACCGGTCCCAGCCTTGACGCTAGTTATATTATCACATTAAATAGGTGACGCAGTCTTGTATGTTGATAGTGGATCTCTCTTGTAGCAACCAACAAGATTCCCATCCACTTAACATAGCCAAAAATTGAGTCAAATTTTGTTTGAATAGAATACAGTCAACTCAAACAATACGTCCACCTTAAAACCTGAGGGCTACAGCACTAACCCAACAGCACATTGAAACTGAAAATAGGGTAGTACATCACCAGCCGTTCTAGTGAGACTCTCGAAGACAGATCATCTGACGTTATTGGAGTGCATGAAAGTAAACGAACGAATACGCGCCGTTTCCTTGCTGCAACCCGCAAACCCAAAGGCTTTTTTAACATGACATAACGGACGTTCGACTTTGGGGCAAAATTTTCGCATCAATGTTCCAATCACTCTTCATTTATTCGCTCGTGTTTCGCTGATTCGTGCAAGTCTCACTCCTTATCCTTGCACTTTCTCCCCTATGAGCCCATCGGCTCACCGTCAACGTTATCTGATTGGTTATATTTACTGTCTTGTAAGTCCAGGACTTATTAACCCGATCAACGCCCCACACCAGATAATTCACATTGTTGGAATATTTCTCGTCTTGGCTTGAGAACGCCCTCGGCTTATTTGAGAACAAATTATCCTTAATTCGCACTGAACAGACACTTGGTACGAATTACACCATATTTGTTTCAATAAAGTCAACACCGAAACATCTGTATGACACGTCTGATAGAGAGGAATTTTTTCTGACTGTCGTTCAAACAGATCCTAAGAAACTTGTCAGACCAAACCCGAGCGGCCTATTATTTCACGGTAACGTGCCAGAACAGTATGGATTGAATGTGTCTCCCGGTGACTGTATCGGATGTTACTTGGAATTGGATTCTGACGGAAAACGGCTTTCCGCACAATGGAGTCACAATGGCCAATTGCTTGGTCCAGCTCCTCTTAGAAAACCATGTTCAATCTCGGTGAACGATTCACTGTTCCCTGGTATGTTCACACATCCTTGTGACAAAGTTCCGTTTGTTTCCAACTTTCTGTCTTCTCATCATTATTCTCCCCATGCTGTCTTACGAAAGCTGCCTCAGTTCTCTCTTGGGTCCTGTTGAGTGAGATGAACGAAGTTAGATCAGGGAAAATAACTAGAATAGCTGAACGCTAATTTCTAACACATTCCGGTTTTTGGATGCTGAAAACAGTTTTTTTGTGGCCGGCTGTTTAAGGCTGGAACTGGACACGGTTAGCCTTTATCCATCTTTCAAGAAACGGGTTCAGGGTTTTCGCTTAGCCGGTTGCAGCATTACCAACCGATCACACCGCCTGCTTCACGCTGAGTCTCACTATTTTTTTAATATTTTTAACAGTTCCCCTCGTCATTTCTGAGTCGGTTAGTGATCAAAGACAAAGACAGTCGGATGATATGATCACAATGAAAGTCACATTCAGGTACTCAAGTTCAAAACATCCACATCAACTGGGATTTGGTCACACTGGAAAGGTTCATAGTCTGGAGCTATCAGTAGTCTAAATATTGACAGAGGTCAAAGAGAGCCAGTCATAGTGTAGAAAGACGTAATAGAAGATGAGTACTGCATGCTTTGGTCAAAAGTAATTCAACCATTTGCAGGTCATGACCATTGAAGATTCCACCGCTGGGAGCAGCTGCTGATTGGAAGATTGTCAAAAGATGGTATCGCACAACTTCTGTTCATTCGCAAGTTAGCTTGTAATTGACCTAAACCGATTCTCATTTGCATCCACTTTCGCCCATTTTGAAACGCTAGGCCTGGTCCTCGAATTTCCATCAATCTAATCTCGTACGTGATCAGTGCAGACGAGAGATTTATCTGAAATTAATTTGAGTCTTCCGTTAGCACCAAGTTATTGCGCAAGTGAGTGCATATCCGTACGTGTGTCTATTTTGGTGTCGAAAAAGAAATTGAGGTTGATGGGATCTTTGGGAACTAGGCGAAGTTAGTATTGGGTTGTCAGGTTTGTATCAACTCTATAAGTAGCATCATATCAAAAAAGGTGTGCAATGTCTGTGCACATTACCACTTGTCAGGTGGATATAAGTCTGATTTCTTAAGCCACTTCAAGACTGTTCCTCCGCGTCAGGATGGCATACTATGAGACGCTGGTCGCTTGCTGCACAATAGGTTCGCGGTTCACCTTTCTTGATTTCATTGTTTCAAGCAGGTTTTTCACTACACCGGTCATTTTACTACTCATTTTCAATGTGCTCACACTTTAAAATCCAACCCGTCCCCTTTTTTCTGATTTTTTCAGCTGCGTCGCTGAAGGATGCTCGTGTGGCTTTTAACTTTGGTTACAGGCCATTCCGATTTCCTCCCACGCACTATTCAACCAGTGGAGCTCCATGGGTTCCGGTTGCAAACACACCCGAAGTCAACCGGGTAGGAAACCGCAATGTCGGCTGGCGGGTGAACCCGGCCGACGTTAGCTCTAGCACAAACCTCCTGATATCTCCCAACGGACGAATGGTTCAAGCAGTGGCAAACACTGGGTGGCAGGGCTTCCGCGTCAATAAAGTGAGTTATCAATAAACTATTATTTTTGTTGCTTACATGAAGGTAACTTGTCTACACGGCACCGATTTTGCTAGCGCCATGTAGAAAAACCAACCAGTCGCCAAGGTAAATACACCAGTCTGGAGCTTGCAAAAGTCCCCAGAATGACACTCAGCAAGATTAATGAATACAGAAAGTTCCCTTTAAACCTAGTCACTTGGACTGAAGACTTGTAGGGTGAATGGAGGGCATTCACATGAGAAATTCCATGTACTCCTGTGTCTGCCAAGATTCAGCATGAAATTGAGATTTTCAATGAAGAGACAGGTCAGCGAGGCTATTCAGACCACCACGGTCAATCGAGTCCAAGCTTGAAACACGGTAAACTGACTAGCCATAGGGGCACGATTATCTACCCCAGATGAGTGTATTTATCAGTTTTTTCCCATCGATTGCTTCTTTTGAGCATTCCTGACTTTGCTTGACTTATGCATTACAGGGCATTTGTGGTGGAGGAAAATACTACTACGAAGTCAAGGTAATGGAGGACTCCGGTTTGGCCCGAATCGGCTGGTCTTTGGACGGCGCCAATCTAGACCTCGGCTACGATGCATTTGGTTACGGATTCGGTGCCGACCGGGACGGATTTGGAATCACCGGGCACCAAGGCAAAAAACTGCATGGTGATGTAATCGAGAATTATGGTGAAGTATGTCTTCTATGTGTCGTATCACCTTACTTTTTCCGAATGTTTTGGTTCGTTCTCTCGTTTTCATGTTATTTTTTCTACACAGTAGCATGTATAAAACCTCAGTTTAGTTAAAGCGCATATCGCACTATATAACTGCAATGTCAACTGTGTCATCTGGTGTCATGTGGAACGTAATGCAAATCCTGACCCGAAAAGAATTCCGTTTAAGAATCAGCGAATGAGCGGTTCGTTTTTACTCAAAATAATTGGTCGAGCGATGAATTACCAATTAGCTGTACGGGTTGGTTTCAATTTGCAGACCAGACGTTGACGTCTGTGTCCAGAAAAGCCGCTTTGCAATACTACTTACTATCTGGAGATCGTTTCAACAAATAGCATGACTTTTACTTTGCACAGGGTTAGCGCTTGAAAATCCTTCTTGCTGGTTGAAATTGTCGTAAGGGCTACATAGTGGAGGTGTTTTGAAAACGGTCGCGTTTTGTGCCTCCGTAAACCAGCTGACTGTCCTCTCTTCAAATTCTGCTTCTGTATTGTCTTCGCCTCGTGCAGCCCTATAACAGTAACCTGCTGCTACATATGTGCGTACCTGTCAGCAAAACTAACCTATACACTGGCATTTTTGCGAAATATAGGTAGCTCCGATGCTTTGCTGTTTTTCCATCAAGGTTGCTGATTATATGTTCACTCCCCCAGTCGCGCGCGGACGACATCTCCTCGGTCGATAATAGAACGTTTGCCATCCAATCTCCAGACCCCACAACTAAACTACATCTTGCAAGCTGGGCATTTCGATTTGTTCTTTAATCCTTTCACAAGTAGACTACATTATTCTTCCGTCAGACTCCCCGGTAGACCATATGTCCAAATTTTGAAAAATCGGTTTCCTCATTGGGAAGGATACGATTTCGCAGACGTAAAACTGCCTTTGACCAACCACGGGCGACATTAAGAGTAAAAAGAGACCACTACTGAGCCATGATTTTAATCAAACTACGGGTTGTAAAAACCGAGTGGTTTGTCAATGATCTTTAGTTAATCCTACATCTGTTTGGATGTTGGTCTGTTAGTCCAGTTTGCTAGTTGAATTGCTAACGTTCCATCACTAATCCTGGTAACATCGTCACTGTTAGGTTGACTGGGTAAATTGCTCCCCTCCTGCCTGTGCTTATATAGTTTCTAAACAGCGTCTAATAGCTGTAAGGTGGTCTCGAGGTGGTCTTCACGTACTTTGACTGGGCACCTGGGGATCTTAGTTGCGCCGTGGTCTCATCCCCTTATATTTGGTTGGTTCGTTGGGCGCCTTCAATTGGGCCATTTTGCTCCTCCGTTGTGATTGGACCGTTTCATTCGTACTTCGCAGTTTGATACTGTCCCATTTGATTTGTTGATTCACTAGCCTTTTAATATTAGTAGCTTTCCTTAATCTGATGGGTCCGCTGGTTGTCGTCAGATTGTTTGACTTCCCATGGGGTTCAGAGTCCCCTGACTGCGTGTTTCTTTTGTTCGTATCGCCTGATAGACTGGGTCGATATCGATGTGTTTAATGATGGAATATTGTGTGGAGTCCAACACCTCCCATTTTGTTCTTGCATGAAAATTATCCTACTTGAATTAGTGACATAAGGTCATGTCTTCTGATGGCAAGCTTGTGCTCGTGTACTTTGGTGGCTAGTAATCTTCCAGTCTGGCCAACATAGTGTTTGTCTTAGAGGTTACATTGAAGTTTGTAGGTAACACTCGCCTTCTTCATCGCATCCAACCTTCCCTTTGGTCTCGAGAGGGCTTTTTCTCAGTATGTTCATAGGCTTGAAGGCGACTGTTTTCCCATGTTGCCATAAATGTCCTGCAGTCACTTTGGCGACGGTTTTGATGTACGGGAGCGTAATCATTCCCTGTTCTGGATGTGTTGGCAAAACGGTTTGGTGTTACTTTTAAGCATCATCATATGGAGTTCCTTGAGTTGCCATTTTTTTCGAATGACTGGCTCTGTTGTGTTGCAGTGCATCTCGCTCAGCTTGAATAGGGTTCGATTAAATCTTCGTTTGTGACAGTTTGGACAATTGCTGACGTAGTTCAGTATCTGGTTCGTGTGCGTTTCTTTCGTGTATACTTCAGTTTGCAGTCGGCTGTCTGTTTTCCTCGTGACGAGCACACTTAGATATGCCATCTTGTTGTTCTACTTTTTTATCCTGAAGTGGATGTCGAAAACACGTTGTTAATTAGTTGATTCGCTCGTGGAAGTTCATTTTTCGTTATAGTGGCAAATGTGTCGTCTACATATCGTACTCATATTTTCGGTTTAATATCTGGTAGCACAGCCTGCTCCAGTTTCTTCATTGTAATTTCCGCGATGAAGACAGAGTTTGGTGATCCCATTGGAGCTCTCAGCCTACATGAACAGTGAGCCTAAATCGAAGGACATCATTATTTCATCTTCAATTCTCACGGTTTTAGTCTCTCCGGAAATTGTCCTGCATTGTTGACTGAATGCTGAGACCCGCTGATAAGATACTTCACCCACTTTCATAGCTGTCTTGAGATACCGTTTGTGGGCGTTCCTGGTATTGAGACTATCTGGGGCAATGGGACTGTTTCTTTGTGAACCTTTGGATGTCCGTGGAATCTGGCAACTTCTGAGGCGCAAAACTTCATTTTCCAGTACTCTTCTTCTGTGATTTCGTGAAGATCTTTCAGCCTCCTCAGGGTTTTATTTGTCTCGTTTGTGAGTTTTACGATTCGCGCAGAAGAGGAGGAATTTACTCATTCAACCTAGAACTGACGATGTCACCTCGAATCGTGATGAAACGTTTTTCAACTCAGCTACCAAGCTCGATGAACCGACCAACAACCAAGCAGCGCAATCGAGCTACCTATATTCCGCAACACCGTTTACATTTGTATTGTGATTAAGTTCATGTGTTGTTATTCTTTTGTATGTAACGCTTAAAGTTTTGGAGCATAATGGTTTGGGGGATTGTCGGCTATGGGCGAAATCGACAGTAAAGCAACTGATCGAGGATGAGTTGGGTATTCGTGTAAATAACGTTCGTTTTCCAGGCCCGTTGTTTTGTTTCATGATTAGCATGAATTTAGGAAGCACCAATGACAAGCGGAACGTTTGAAGTGAACTTCAAATTATGTGAGTACGGGGTTCTGCCAAAGTCCGTATCTGGCCAAGTGTAGTCTGGTAGGTCATTAACCACAAGCTTTTCGAAACTAGAAAAAAAAACAATTTAGCTGATAGTGTTGTACACATTTGCAGATCGTTTCTGGTCTACTTTGTTACAGGCCTTTGGAAAGGATGACGTTATCGGGTGTTTCCTGGATCTGGATACTGGTGTGGTTCAGTGGTCTAAAAATGGTCGTCTGTTTGGCAGTGCCTACTGGCTACCTGAACAGTTCCTCAAACAAGGTGACCCCATCTTCCCTGCTGCGTCCCTGGTAGATACCACTCTGGAACTAAACTATGGTGATCTTCCCTTTGAATTTCCTCCTGAGGTGAGCATGTTACACTTCGCTCCAAAAGACAATGCGGCAGTTTCCCTTTGAAAATTCCGTTAAACTATTTTAGTTACCGCAGTATCTAAAGGTCAGTTTATAATTATTGTTTTGGTTCAGCTTGCGAACTCACTAGGTCAGTGGTTCTTGCTATGGTGGAGTTTCAAGATTCCAGTTAGTGCGGAGGCCACTCGTTCTTAGTGTTGCATCTGATTTACGCAAGAACGGCACTCAATTTACTTCTCTGCAACAAAGATGCGAACGAGTTTCAATTTTAATTTACTGGTACACAAGTGGAATGGTGTGTATCAGGCTAGAAATGCTGAGAAGCATCGCGCCAGGGCGTACTTTCACGATCACCACGGGTTAGAAGTTGCCTCTACTGACAATTGGATTAGCAGCACCCGATTCTGCTTTACATCTGTGGCGCTCTTGATCAGTTGTACTGAAAAAAAATGGTCAGCCGTGAAGTCGTTTGCATCGTTTTGGTACAGTTAGCTTTGCGTAGCTGCTCGTATATGCTTACGTGGTGTCTACTGATTTCCTGGAGCGTTTCACCTGATTTCTCTTGTTTTGATTTGTACAGGCTTCTGTGAAGCCTGCAATCGACGCATATGCGTGAAGACCAACTGAAGAACTTCTACGGTTTTGCATTGGAAGCAGAATTGGAAGCCTGTTTTACTGAAGCCGAGATGTGAATCTACCTCTGGTGTTGTTGATAGTGATGATATTGGTAGGTGGCACAAAACGCACGCTTCCTGAGCTTTAAGAAAACGACACTTTATTGTGAATTCTCACCCTATGAAAATTTATTCCAAACAGACTTTTGTGGCGAAAAATTAATGCATCAGGTCCCTCGGTGTAACACAAACAATCGTCCAACAAAGGTTCTTATCATCCGCCAACCGGTCACGAATACTAGCCTAGAGTGCTTATTAGTTTAAAGCGCAGCAGCACAGAGAAAGGGATCACTTCTACTCATCTCACTCCCGGATAGGACTTATTACTTAGCCAATCACCCCTAACCCCGAGGAGCCAAGTCTACTTCCATATGAGACAAAGCTCCATATGTTGATCTCACTACAACAATCATTTGCGAAGAACAGGTGAAAGTTACCCAGGCAACTTATGTTGCATGTACTGTACGTCCAAAAGGTTATTTTGCTTTGAACATGACAAAGGAAGATGTTAAATTTGATCACTTGAAGCTCAACCGGTATTTGTATTTTCTCACTCGAACAAACCAAATGCAGGATATGCGCGGACTTCCTTTCGCTGTAAGTTCATTTCAATGCAGATCAAAAGACGTGCCAACTGAAACGCTGCTGTATTATAAATGGAACACTATTGTGCTTGAGATGTTTGCTGATGTAGATTTGTGCAGTTTACTTACTGACGAGATGCAGTAGTTTTGTGCACCCAGTTTGGTCTCAGTTTCCACGCTAGATTATTTTGGTGGTATTCGAGTCGTCACTTTTGTGATTGCGTGAAAATCACAATTCCTGTTCAAAAGTTTGCACAAAGTGAAAAGATCGGCTGCTTGAAGGTTCTATCCGTTTGAATCGTCAAAACGAACATTCACGAAGTTTTCCACGAGAACTACCAATGGCTGTTTTCTAGATATCTAGGCGATTGGTCATTCAGCATTTCGAGATGACTAATTCCATTTCGATTCCAACCTTCTTATCGACGCATCCTGTGACTGCACGCTGGCACATTGACAGTCACCGGTTTTCTCTTGGGCCTTCAGTTTACTAGGCTACTCAGTAAAGTCAAGGTTGTTTGTTTCTTGAACAGGAGGCTGGACTTCTGGTACAGGTCCACCAATGTTTTAAGCTATTTGAATTACACAGGCAGTTTAAGCAAGTAGAGTCTAATTAAATAAGGTCTTTTAAAATTTATCTGTCATTTGCATAGAGTGCTTGTTTACGAATGCATCTAACCCAGTGAAATTTGATTACTTGGGATATGGCATAGCAGATGGCTGTTTTTGCTTGTTGACGATAAGTGGTCATTACGTTGCTTCTTCAGACCGACTGGTTACCGCTTTTCGCTGCTCCCGATGAAAATGTCGTTGAATCCTCCACATGGCAAAATCTGGTAAGCCTGAAATCGTATAACTCTCAAACCAAGCATGTTCTGATCTATTCAAATTGCACGCAGCAAGGAGTTTGAATAAAGTGAATGGTTCAGCCTATACATCACGTCCATTATTAAGAAGCATTTCCAATATCTGTTACCTTAGTGCTCATGCGTTTTCTCGTTTCTGTGTATTCACGGTTTGAGCAATACAGCAAAATCAGACATAGGAGAAAGAGTCTTGTGAGCTAATCTGCCATTGCCTCCATTTTGGGTGCCCTTCAAATGTGTAGTTAGATTAACGGCCATGTATGCGCGATTCCTATTGGTAAGCCTGCCACGCCATCATAGAGACAGTAACTCGCCCCCATTTTGGAGGAAATGGCCTGCTGTCAAGGCATCCGCACAGGCCCTTGATCCAAGTAGTGGTGCGCTGCTGACAGGCCTAATAGGTTTTTATAGATGACAACGCAACCGGCTGGAAAGCTATCACGTGGCTGACACGCCCGACTCAGACCCGAGTCAACAGCGCAGACGGCTAAGGTCACGTCCGTACATTATTTTCTTGGTCAGGACGTAACGGCGGATGAACAGACAAAAAGACAGGTGTGTCACGCTGCAGTCTACCGGCTGAAAATTTGACGACTGCGAGTCTACAGCCCAATCCAACCATCTGGATTGGGGTGCTGTCCTCGAAGTTTTGTGAACCGTAGTTCTGTTGCTGATCTGCTCATCTCCGAGTCAGCAGCAGCCGGACACATGCTGTCTAAAGGACAACATGATGTTTTCACATTTCACATCCCAGTATTTGTGCCCAGATAAAGCGCTCCAAGCTCTGAAATAGAATAGGACCACTAACAAAAATTCTTGAATATTTACGGATTCTTAGTGTTATATTCTAGAGTGTGCAGCTATGTTTTATGAGATATGAGATATGAGATACAATGTTCAGTACATAGTACTCTCCAACCATACTTCATGGAAGCCAGAGAAGCCTAGAGGCGGAACACTCCGGAAATTCCTGTTTATACACCTTCAGTATGGACACAGGTTAACAAGGGCCTACTCATTTAATCTTGCTGAAACTTACTGAATAATCGAAAAAGATAAACACGAGGCAGTTGACTATGTTCTCGTATCTGGATCCTGCTATTAAACTGCATGCAATAGTCAATGATAAGTTGACAAAGTCGCAAGGAAGATGGTCATTTCTTATAGTAGACTGTTACCTCCAAGCATGTACTTCTTTGTACATGGCATATCGATCTTTGGTTACTCATATACTTAAGGACCTCATGCATTTCACACGTACCCTAGTAAGTCACCGTCAAATTCTGTCTCCCCGTAACAACCTGGTGCTTTGTTCTCGTTCTACATTTCACATAACGTTAAAACCCTCTTCATATACCATTCCTGTATATTTGCTCGCGACGTTTGTACTTCTCCACCCCACGTGATATTCTGATTGTCTGTTTTATTCCGCAAAGCGTGCAGTTGAGCGTCAAGAGAAGGAGATACACAAATCCTATCTTCGCATGGAACACCAGCGCGCGTGTCCTGAACCTCCTAGACGGACAAGCTCCCGGATCCCCCAAACAACTGCAAATGGAATAGCAAAGGCGATTCGGATGCAACGAAATGGAGATTCTAACCATTTGGGTTGGACTGATCCCGCCACATCGGGTTGGATGCAAGAAGACGAAGTCCACTCAGTGAGTGTTGTGGAACCGCCATTCCCGCAGAAAATTTTCACTGAGTTCCATGAACTTAATCAGGCCTAATCATTCGCAGAATATTACTGTTGGTGAATAACCTTGAAACGGATGAGTACAAGGAGTCCAATAAAAAATTCCTCATTACTTTTAAAGCGTGAATGAAAAGAGGAAAATATAGGAAGTGATGTTATTACACTAGGTCACAATTGGTTCTGTAGTTGCTAGTCTACAATTCTGTGTCTGAAAAATTTGGGTTATCATTGGGTGCTTGATTAATGAGAACTCAGGGGCGCAGCTTACTTGATAGTCAACCGCAAAGTAGCTTCAAATATCAAATTATTGATAGGTAAGTATTCCGTGCGGATGACAAACCAGGAGTGATAATGCGTGATGAAATCGTGTTCGTTTCATATACTGCTTTGGTCGAAAAGAAGATTAGTCAGGAAGTTTCTGTGGTCTAATGCTGAGGCTGAGTCTATATGATCCGATCTGCGTGCACCTCACTACCTTTGGATGCAGACCTTACAAGTCCGTGCGGATTACAAAGCGGGGTTCTCACTATCAATTTCTGTCAGTTGGAGGTGTTTCAGATTGTTTATTCTGAAGTAGTGACGATGTATCAGTTGCCCCAGGTCAAGAGGAGCTTTGCACATAATACGAATATCATATTTCGTGTTCTTTGGAGAGATCTTGTCAGTTGATTCGCTTAAACGATTACCGTAGCATGGCTCGGGACAAAACGGACCCAAAAGTGAATATCTGTCTTTGTCAGACTTGAATATATGCATATATAAAGACATAGCAAAAGCAATAAGATGTGCGACGATCTCAGTTGGACTAAAATCCTCTGGTCAACACTCAACTCGTAGTTTGTGAAAAACCTCACAGGATGTACGATTTACGTGATTTTTTGTACCTGACTTAGTGGTTACATGAGTACTGACCCTTATTACAAAGCTCAGGCCATTGAATATCTTAGGTGTCCAAGGTGGATTCTGCAGTGGCCAAAATATTCGTTCTGATAGACTTTAATAAGCCTGAAGGAACTATATAGATAAGTGCAAAAAGAGCTGCGGCATTCTTCTGGTGCCCTGTGTTCACGGGGTGGGCCAACGGTACGCCGTTGTCTCTTTTAGAAGGTAGCTATCCAACCACCTAACAAACGGGACCGATCATTCAAACGACAAGTTATAGTCAAAGACCACTCACCCCCCCAAACGACAAGTTATAGTCAAAGACCACTCACCCCCCAGTCCCGCGTCAAGATACTTGTATAAGCATGAGCACCGTGCTGCTCAACGCCTAACAACCGATGCGCCACCAATCTACTATGCACTGATGATGTCGTCTCGATGGAAGACAAAACGCTTGCAACTGAATTGCTCGGCTCAGTGAACAGGACAACATTCATCTACAAAAAAGGAGCCTTTAGCAGTTCCCCTGATAGCAGAGCTTTCCTATTTTGAATGTTTTTACAAGAAAGGCGCTCGCTAATACAGGAAAACCTGAGAAAATTCTGAGCGTCACGTCGGAACGTTTGCTAGTTAGTCCCAGAGGACTTCAATAGTGTGAAGTTTAGGTAGGCCTGTGTCGGTTACAATGACGTCTGTGCAAGTTTCTTCCTCAGTTTACCAAACCCTGAGCTGAACAGGGATAAGTTTGCTGCAAAGCCTAACGTCTCCAACCATAACTTCGATCAAACTTGGTATTAGGTGAACATAATTGGGGAAATGCCGCTTTCTTCTTTCAAGAGGAATCTTGCACATCAGCATCTAGGACCTGTGCAGAAGGCCTGGCATATTTCGAATCCGCTTGTCCCCGTCAGTTCTTCTTCGAGCCCTGTATCGTCTTATCTGTGTGCTACTGAGGCATTGAAAGTGTACCAAAGCTGAACGATTCGGTTGGATTTGGAACCAGCGGGCTTAGCATAGTTTACTCTTAGTCCACCTTCGTACCTTGTAATCACTTTACAAAAGCAGCAAAACGGTTAAAATTGTTTAGATTAGGAAGCTGCGAACGTAACTCCTTCACGCTTCCAGATACCCAGGTGGATGATGTGATAACGCTTCCGATTAAATAAATGTGTGGATGCTTGCAAATGTGTCCTACCTTCTGAACGATACCCAGAGTGACTTTTTCGTTCAATTCTGACAGTTTACTGGGAAAGATTTAGACGATTTATCTGCGGATGATGTTGAACCGATCCCGGTTAGTCCTAACGGACCAACAGAGCACACTGCTGACCCTCGAGTGATAGCCGGAGTAAGTGTGACAAGAAGCATGTGTCCAACATCGATAAACGAGTTAACCTGTCGCATTGCTCCACCATTCTAACCGTTTAAAAAGGCCGTAGTTTTCGCCTAACAATAACACGCTGTCAGTTTGATGCACTTCAAAAGTTTGTGGATAATTAACCATTGATAGTCAGCTCTGGCCAAGGGTGTGCTGTATTTTCTTTGGTTTGGCACTAACCACCAAGAATTTTGTGCTTTTGTTTTGGTGATAACGAGAAATGCCCCCGAAGTCAATGACAGCTTTAAAACACTGCGCACTTACAGCGGAATTAATTTTTTTGAAATCAGATCACCGGTTCCATATTGATTAGATTCATTAAGGCCTGAATCTCGGCGGAGCGCGTTTGGACACCGTGTATGAGTTTACTTTGACTGATCGTCAATATTCTCACGCATATGTGCGAAATTTACCTGAATTTATCGCCTTACATTGAACTGCCATATTCTGTTGCTAGTGGGCCGTTTTTTTGATCGTATTTTGTGTTGCCTTCTAAAAACAATAAACAGAAAACGACATCCTTCAAGTCGTCGATGACTGGGCTGTTATGCGTTGTCATATTCACCAAATTCAGCTGATTGAGAATACCGATGGGTCATTGCAGGTGCACCGCTTGCTGCCCCGGCACGCACAAATAGCTAAGCATTTCCCGGAAGTTTTGAGGCACACAGTAGGGGATCGTCCATCAAGCTCACCTAAATATGAAACGGTGAATCGATTTTTGTGAAGACATCTTGAGTATGTACTCAGTACATCTTGCACTGTCAGTTGTCGTTAAGTACCATGTCTTCCAGGATATGTCTCGTCGGATCCACACTATGGAATTGTGGAGCAACTGACGAGTGGAGGACATTTCATATTTTGTGTAGCTTAGTTTTCTGTGACCTCATTAAAACCGTTTGCAGGACACAAATCCCAAACTACCCAAATAAACCTCTTGAGGGGAAACTCATTGTTCAGCCATCATCATCATCATCATCATCATACCTTCATCATCGACAGCAGAACGCCAATGTTCGGCACTGATGCCTCACTGGCGTACAACCATAATATATTTGAAAGCCTGGTTTTGAATAAGAGAATAAAAGTGATTGGGGAAGAGACAATATGAGGTGCCCATACCTCCAGCCACTCATTCAGACACTGAATAGAAACTGACAAAAACCACGTCACTGATATGGATTAGCAGCCATATTTTTTCAGCGTCGCTGACCTTGAACAGAGAGGACCACGTGGATTCCATCCCGATAGGTGCTCTGAACCAAGTTTTTCTAAATCTCATACCTCTCTGCCAGGTCAAAGATTGGTCACTTCTCTGCGTGTGGCAGCAACGTTACCCGAACTCATATTCCATTTATACGTTTGCCCATGTCTGTTCTTGCGCAACACAATGATTGCAGAATTTACGTGCACCCTCATGGCACCTGGCAACCGATCAAAATGCATGTGGTTAGCATTTGGTTTCGAGGTTTGAAAATCTTTGTTGTTTTTAAAGGGTTGCCTTTTGCTTGCGAGCGTAGTTTTTTGGCCAGTTGATCACACTTGGTTTTAAAAAAGGCGACAAAACCACTTGCTTCGTGATTTCCAGGTACCAATGATGTGACTGGTTAACCAGTTCTACTTTTTTGTTTACAGATTAATGGAGGAGGTGTCAGTGTGGATGCTGACAAAGTGAGTTATAATTCGGGTTTTTCATCCATTAAACCATCTGATAGGCTTATAATAAGTGGATGATGAGCGGACGGCGGATACCAATCTTAGTAATTTAGAACCAAGTTATCATCCACTATTACACAGAAAAATTTCGTTAGTTATTCACCTTTCTCACTAAAGTTGCTAGTGAATTGCGCAACCAATAGATGTAGTGGCAACCTTGGTGCCAACTATAGAAAATACACGTTGTCAAACGTGCACTTGTTTAAGCGGCTNCTCACCCCCCAGTCCCGCGTCAAGATACTTGTATAAGCATGAGCACCGTGCTGCTCAACGCCTACACACCGATGCGCCACCAATCTACTATGCACTGATGATGTCGTCTCGATGGAAGACAAAACGCTTGCAACTGAATTGCTCGGCTCAGTGAACAGGACAACATTCATCTACAAAAAAGGAGCCTTTAGCAGTTCCCCTGATAGCAGAGCTTTCCTATTTTGAATGTTTTTACAAGAAAGGCGCTCGCTAATACAGGAAAACCTGAGAAAATTCTGAGCGTCACGTCGGAACGTTTGCTAGTTAGTCCCAGAGGACTTCAATAGTGTGAAGTTTAGGTAGGCCTGTGTCGGTTACAATGACGTCTATGCAAGGTTCTTCCTCAGTTTACCAAAGCCTGAGCTGAATAGGGATAAGTTTGCTGCAAAGCCTAACGTCTCCAACCATAACTTCGATCAAACTTGGTATTAGGTGAACATAATTGGGGAAATGCCGCTTTCTTCTTTCAAGAGGAATCTTGCACATCAGCATCTAGGACCTGTGCAGAAGGCCTGGCATATTTCGAATCCGCTTGTCCCCGTCAGTTCTTCTTCGAGCCCTGTATCGTCTTATCTGTGTGCTACTGAGGCATTGAAAGTGTACCAAAGCTGAACGATTCGGTTGGATTTGGAACCAGCGGGCTTAGCATAGTTTACTCTTAGTCCACCTTCGTACCTTATAATCACTTTACAAAAGCAGCAAAACGGTTAAAATTGTTTAGATTAGGAAGCTGCGAACGTAACTCCTTCACGCTTCCAGATACCCAGGTGGATGATGTGATAACGCTTCCGATTAAATAAATGTGTGGATGCTTGCAAATGTGTCCTACCTTCTGAACGATACCCAGAGTGACTTTTTCGTTCAATTCTGACAGTTTACTGGGAAAGATTTAGACGATTTATCTGCGGATGATGTTGAACCGATCCCGGTTAGTCCTAACGGACCAACGGAGCACACTGCTGACCCTCGAGTGATAGCCGGAGTAAGTGTGACAAGAAGCATGTGTCCAACATCGATAAACGAGTTAACCTGTCGCATTGCTCCACCATTCTAACCGTTTAAAAAGGCCGTAGTTTTCGCCTAACAATAACACGCTGTCAGTTTGATGCACTTCAAAAGTTTGTGGATAATTAACCATTGATAGTCAGCTCTGGCCAAGGGTGTGCTGTATTTTCTTTGGTTTGGCACTAACCACCAAGAATTTTGTGCTTTTGTTTTGGTGATAACGAGAAATGCCCCCGAAGTCAATGACAGCTTTAAAACACTGCGCACTTACAGCGGAATTAATTTTTTTGAAATCAGATCACCGGTTCCATATTGATTAGATTCATTAAGGCCTGAATCTCGGCGGAGCGCGTTTGGACACCGTGTATGAGTTTACTTTGACTGATCGTCAATATTCTCACGCATATGTGCGAAATTTACCTGAATTTATCGCCTTACATTGAACTGCCATATTCTGTTGCTAGTGGGCCGTTTTTTTGATCGTATTTTGTGTTGCCTTCTAAAAACAATAAACAGAAAACGACATCCTTCAAGTCGTCGATGACTGGGCTGTTATGCGTTGTCATATTCACCAAATTCAGCTGATTGAGAATACCGATGGGTCATTGCAGGCGCACCGCTTGCTGCCCCGGCACGCACAAATAGCTAAGCATTTCCCGGAAGTTTTGAGGCACACAGTAGGGGATCGTCCATCAAGCTCACCTAAATATGAAACGGTGAATCGATTTTTGTGAAGACATCTTGAGTATGTACTCAGTACATCTTGCACTGTCAGTTGTCGTTAAGTACCATGTCTTCCAGGATATGTCTCGTCGGATCCACACTATTGAATTGTGGAGCAACTGACGAGTGGAGGACATTTCATATTTTGTGTAGCTTAGTTTTCTGTGACCTCATTAAAACCGTTTGCAGGACACAAATCCCAAACTACCCAAATAAACCTCTTGAGGGGAAACTCATGGTTCAGCCATCATCATCATCATCATCATCACCTTCATCATCGACAGCAGAACGCCAATGTTCGGCACTGATGCCTCACTGGCGTACAACCATAATATATTTGAAAGCCTGGTTTTGAATAAGAGAATAAAAGTGATTGGGGAAGAGACAATATGAGGTGCCCATACCTCCATCCACTCATTCAGACACTGAATAGAAACTGACAAAAACCACGTCACTGATATGGATTAGCAGCCATATTTTTTCAGCGTCGCTGACCTTGAACAGAGAGGATCACGTGGATTCCATCCCGATAGGTGCTCTGAACCAAGTTTTTCTAAATCTCATACCTCTCTGCCAGGTCAAAGATTGGTCACTTCTCTGCGTGTGGCAGCAACGTTACCCGAACTCATATTCCATCTATACGTTTGCCCATGTCTGTTCTTGCGCAACACAATGATTGTAGAATTTACGTGCACCCTCATGGCACCTGGCAGCCGATCAAAATGCATGTGGTTAGCATTTGGTTTCGAGGTTTGAAAATCTTTGTTGTTTTTAAAGGGTTGCCTTCTGCTTGCGAGCGTAGTTTTTTGGCCAGTTGATCACACTTGGTTTTAAAAAAGGCGACAAAACCACTTGCTTCGTGATTTCCAGGCACCAATGATGTGACTGGTTAACCAGTTCTACTTTTTTGTTTACAGATTAATGGAGGAGGTGTCAGTGTGGATGCTGACAAAGTGAGTTATAATTCGGGTTTTTCATCCATTAAACCATCTGATAGGCTTATAATAAGTGGATGATGAGCGGACGGCGGATACCAATCTTAGTAATTTAGAACCAAGTTATCATCCACTATTACACAGAAAAATTTCGTTAGTTATTCACCTTTCTCACTAAAGTTGCTAGTGAATTGCGCAACTGCTTTTTGAGTCTTCGCAAAACCAATAGATGTAGTGGCAACCTTGGTGCCAACTGTAGAAAATACATGTTGTCAAACGTGCACTTGTTTAAGAGGCTATCAAGATACTCAGACCAATCTGTCCATTCTCATTGTCGAACGCAAGATTCCGGATTTCATCCTGCACAGCTTCTAATGTCATCCATTCGTAGTCGAATAGTACCCCTTCAGCTGCTTGCTGGGTGTTCGCTTGTTCAAATCCTCCTAGAGATTGATTAGGTGCTCACTGGTGATGATTCCCAACAGCTGCTTGGCTTTTTAGTACAGATTGACTTACAGGACGCAACCTCGGTCAGAATTTCACAACCTCCTTGTACTGCCACCAAGTTGCACCGTTTTAGATCCTAAGGTGAAAACGTCACCCTGATATTTTCATCAATGAGAAAACGGGTGCTGTGGGTCAAGTAGAATGTTCTACCCATTTACTTTGAAGTGTACAAGTACAATGTTTTTTCAAATATCAAACCACTGGGAGCTCTTTGTGAGACACTCATATATGTGTGGGGTACCTGTTGAAACAAATTGAACATATTACTTCACTGGCCTCACTCCAAAGTTGTTGGTTGGTAAGCATAGATTAACTGAAACTGACAAGGCGAATAAGCGAAGTTTTTGTCGGTGTGTTACTCATTCTCGATACATGTGCTTGACAGCCCACTGACAGTGCTGGATTCACGCACCAATTTATCATTTCCCGCCTGCAGTGCGCAGCTACCTACTCCCCCCCCTCCAATCATCGGTGAACGAAACGGCGATAGCTGCAACCACTGTACGACGGGTACGCGGTTGTTACAGCTGACAATAATGATAATGATGATGCTTGCTACACTTGACATTAGTCCACCGTAGGAATTACTGAGTTACTGCGTGGTTGGAGACCAGGTCAGTCGAGAAATTAAAGGCCGTCCGAAATCGTCTGTTTTTACTCAGGAATTACCATACGCTCAGGAGTTTGCGACAATGCGCGTTTCGTTGAATATATCAACAACGGTAGCTTTGTTAAGGTTCAACTAATGTACATCTAGTTTGGAATTTTTTGACACAAATTTCCTCAAATTCGTGTCTGAATTTCAACACTTTACGTTGATACTGTCCGACCCATAGAGGGCTATAGAATTATTGCCTTCAAGGTGTATGAGGGTTCGAACGTTCACTGTCACATGATACTATTTTTTTATATTTTGTTACTCTGTTGGTTGCATTGAGGTGCGTATTTGCTGCGCACTATTCGCTCATTGTTTGTGAAATTTCGAATCGGCCTAAGTTTACTCCTACGGATAAAGAAAAATCTCGAGTAGGTCAACAGCTGGTTCGCGCATAGATTAACCTCGGGGTGCCGAATTTGGTGCAATTTTCTTTGCACTGCGCAGTAGCACATGGAAAGCAACCCATATTCGGAAATGAGCGGATAGTACGTGACAGAAACATATAGTACATCAATGTTGTGTAATCCCAACTGCATGCTACTGAGATCGCGCTGAAATATCCAAGGATCAAGAACGCCATGGTCGCGTGATACGCGTCACAGATGACGTTGGCGGGTTTGCTGCGATTGGAAAGAGCTGGAGGCAGCCGACCCGAACCCAAATCAATTTGAGGCTCTCAGACATGCCATTCCACGCCTAATTTATGTATCATTTAAAATTTGCGTGCATTCAGACCGTTTGTTGCTATGACCACATACGCGTACATGTTGCTACCAAGTCTAACGTCAGGACAGCATCAAACATTCATAAAGCACCATTCGTTTTCTACACCGAAAACCACTCAAGCTACCCCATGGTAGAACTGAAGGGAACCTTACACTTATACATAGGTACACACGAATTCGTGCCAACCATACAATAACCAAAACAGGTATAGATTGGTTATTTAAAGTGTTTCGTACAGATTGTGCTTTTTACAGCAGAAACTTCATTCAGGGGCATCACGGTAGAATCCGGTGACCAATTTCCTGAATGTCCAATGCTCTGATTGTGACAAAAGTTTTTAACACCACTGTTCGTTTAACTACCTGATTGTACTACTGGCATAAATGGCTCATGGGTAATGCTCTACTCAGCTTCGTTGACGGTCACACATGGGCCCAAATTGATAAAGTTCTCTTTATACTTCAAGCTTCACAGACTACTGAGTCAGTTGATGTAGTAAGAAGTAGTTTGCGCTTTTGACCGTCAAATCGATGAGTGACAGCCTCATTTTCGCAGGTGAAGTGCAAGAGAGAAAGAGCAAGTGCAGGTGGAAAAGCTTGGTCCCGCCGAAGATTTGGTGGCCGGATACAGCTTTAAGTGCAAGATATTCGAGCGGTTGTTATGTGATATTGAATTCTCTGAGCTGAGTACATTACACAGTTTCCGTTATAAACGTTTACACTTGAAAAATGGGTGAACAAAACCTTTGAGCACTGCAAATCCCAACTGTGACTCAAGGGTAGAGATCCGGCTAATGTGTGTAGATAACCAGCATTCTGTAGGCGCCATCGCTTCTCGCACTGACAGCGGTCTCTTACGGCTATCGAACTGAGACAGTTGCAGCATAAACCCTGAAAAAATTACTGTTGACATCATCCTTCCGTTTTATAGGGACAGACTTCTGGGTATGTAAGTGCACAGCTAGTTTCATGCGCCACATCTGATCCGCAACCATCAAACAACTTTTTCGTGTGTCAAACAACCGCTATACTCATTCTCACTTTGTTCTCGATTAATATCCCGTTCAATTTCGATTCAACCAACCGCATTGTTCATCATAAACAGCTCGTAGGCCACGCGAAAACTGGGTTGCATTCGGAAATGGGTTACGCAATCGTCACTAAAAACATTTTCTATGTACTGAATGTGTGCTTTCAAATAGTGATTCTGGGAATAAACCATGTAGTGCACTTCAGGACGTTATACACTCCATTGTCGTTTCGCATAACTGAATCCCCTTCTTCACTGTTATGTCGTGTCGAAATACCAGCTGACACGTTGTGTTGTACGATGCAGTCCCATGATAAAAATCAGCTCGTGGGTTCACACTAGACTCTGAAGCAGAAGACCTATGAGCATTTTATTTAGAGATTATCATCTCGTCTGCAAACTTTTTTTGCATATTTGCTTAGCGAATCGCTACAGTGAGCATTAACTTCCCGTCGATCTTGATATTCTCAAATAGAACTGTGTTTTCCACATGCAAATGTTCTGTCAGGCCGCATTTTCCTTTTTGGTCACAAAACAACCCATTCGACCGAATGCAACGATAGCATTTTGTCGCATTTGTCTGTGCAATATGGCTAAATAGATAGACCAAATCTGGGCACGTCATATGCATTTTGACAAGTCACACAATCGGGGGTTGTACAAGTATTCTGTCTGGTGCTAATAAAGTACGTAGGAAAACTACACTTTAAAAATACACTCATTTGCATATCAGTTTGGTTTTGATAGGAGACTCACCTGGAAACCAGCTAAATCCCTCGACTATGATGAATGTGCTACTCCAGGCCGCCTCATGCTTCGGTTGGTACAATATTCGAGATAGGTAGTGTGTGACGTCCATACAATATGTCGCATTATCACGAATATCGCTCATGAGGTGGCTCGATGCAGCACATTCATTTGCTGAAGAGCATCATAGACGAGAGATTCGGCTGAGTTACAGGTGAGTCTCCCGTGAAAACCAAAATGATATGCAAAGGAGTGCAGTTGTCGAAATCTGTCCAATTTGAGTTCAACTAGGACATGAGGTTGACGGAAATCGGGGACTGTGTCTACCTAGTGAGTCTCAAGAAGGGTGAAACGAGTCGTGAGCTGTCGAAGAGTTTTCAGCAATATTATTAAAAGTGTATTACGTCTATACAAACTATCCTTGAGTTAGCGAACAATATATCTGTGCAAGTGCCAGATTCGAGCCCAACTAGAGTGTGCGACATTGATATATTGGTCCAATTTAACTCAAGAGTTAAAATCCCCTGAAGATGGGTTCACGATCTGCAGTCTTTGCAGTGAGACATTTGTACTGAGTTGCAAGTGTGAATTTCTGAGATTTCTCGTCTCAACCAGAAGGTGCTTGCTGCTTTCCGTTTGCATATTCTCTAGAGCTATCACCATATTTGAAACGGTTAGATGAGTACTAATATAATCGAATTCGGTTAACGTATCATCCATATACGCAGATTGTGGGTGCATCGATAACTGCGCTAACCGAGTGCTCATCAATACTCAAAAATGTGTTCCCTTGCATAATACACATTTCGCGTTTCTCCCGATAAATTTGTTTTCTTTGTATCCTCTGTCAGGCTCTGAACGCTGCAATTCTGGCAACAACAGGTTTAAACCCTGATTCGGTTGTTCTGCGGGACTCCATGGGTGTCACGGCTCGAAGCAATGGTTACGCCTAGATCAGACAGTACCTATCACATATCCCTGTATTCCCACTTTCTAACAAGGATCTTTGGCTTATACAACTTGTTTGAATTAAGAGACGAGCATTTTTTCCATCCCGCCCCCTCGGTCACATATGACTGACTATTTCTCCGGTTCTTTCAACGCCACATTCGATTATGAGTGCGACGAGAGAGCTGTATTGACTACGAACCTAGAATTCTCTCCGGATTTTCTAAACGTACATTTGTATCACATATCACGATACTTGAGTCCGGATACACGTTTTTTACGGAAAATTTGGTTATCCGTTATGCGTCTGCTTACGCATAAAACTCCATCCAAAATCAAATACATCTTCCATTTGTCCAAACTTTTATGGAAAGACGCTCCTGGATCGATGCTTATTTCAAGTGGTTTAATTATATTCCAACACTTTTGTCTGAAACTCATGTATAGCCATCTATTCAAGCACTCTCTTTTCTACCACGTCACTTTGCATTCTTTAACTTGCTTCTTCAGTCATCCGAAACAAAACACTAATTTTGATCTTTGATTAAAAACTGTAGCAAAGATTTTCCCCTCTCCTATATATGCTGTTTACATTCTAGACAGCGTTCGATCATATCAGACCCTCCCTGACCACACAAATGGGTAACCCACTTATCCGCCCGGAGATTCGCACCATCCCAATGTGCTTCCATTACGTGACATGCACCGTTACTCCTTCATAATACATTTTCATTTTGTATGCACAAGTATATATGATTTAAAAAGCGAAATTCGGATATATTAATCGCTATTCTGGGGGAACATGCAGGCAGGTGTAGAAATTTAACCGTACCAATTTGGTTGCGTTCACGTCCATCCGTATGTAAAAGTATAAGCATCCGCACGAATGCAACGGTCAAGTGCACTAAATGCTGTGAAATGACGGACTGAATTTGTCGTAGACTGTTTCGAAAGTTGCAGAACTTCCATTCACGTCACTGTGTATAGAGAACAACTCTCCTGTTCCGGTGAAATTAATCCGGTGAGTCCACACTAAACAGGGATTCGTCGGAACAATTGCAACAGGAGACAGAAGCACTGTCACGAGGTTGACATGAATAAATTGTCGTACAAGCTTCGTCTGGGATTATGATATTGCGGTTTTTAGCTATAGTGGATCAGTTTTATTGAGAGTCCAAAGTGAGAATCTTCTAAGATAGCTCCGTGGAGAGTCTGTAACTTGATGACCGGAAAATAGTTTGCCTTTCTGAGTTTTTCAAAGATTCATAGGCCTTAAGTTATATAGTCTGGATATAAACTTATTGATATGTAGGATAAAACACTTAGGAATTGTATAAACAGTATACATTCCTCATAAGGTTGCTGAGAACCATTTGACAGCCCACGACCGGTTTCACCCTTCTTGAGGCTCAGTAGATAGGCGCAGTCCCAACCTCATATTCTACTTGAAACCAAATTTCAGAAAATTAGCGAAATGCATGCGATTTGCATGCCAATTTGGTCTTGATGGGAGATTTACTGGAACCCAGCTGAATCTCTCGTTTATTGTGTTTTTAAGCGAATGACTGTATTTCGCTGATTTCTTCCAGTTCGGGTTCAAGTGGAACATTGGTTTGGCGGAAACTCGGAGACTGCGCTTTCCTAATGAGCACCAAGGTGGGTGAAACTGGTCGTGGACTGCCGAAGAGTTTTCAGCAAACTTATGAATAGTGTATTACATCTATACAATTTGCCATCTGAAGCATGAGGCGACTGGATGCACTACGCTTAGCCGCCTAAGAACATGGTAATTGAGAGATTCAGTTGAGTTCCAGGTGCGTCTCTCGTCAAAGCCAAATTGGTGTGCAAATGATTGTAGTCCACCTAAGTGCTGTTTACTTAGCTTATTTAACTGTTTTTAAGGCAATTATCCCAAATTAATTTAGCCTCCACGACCTTCGGTTAATTCATTTATTGATAGTTGTTTCTGGTTATTGTTAGCAAAGCAATATTTAAGCTAACAGTGAATGTCATTACTTTATCATTTAACATTTCCACATCAAACCGCCCCTCACCGTTAATGCTTGAGGATTATTTAAGTAAAGAATTCCTTATAACCGGTCTTATTTGTCTGACCCGAGGGTTGATAAAACTTGCTGTATCAGGATATATCACCTGTAGGATCTAATCAGAGTGGGAGCTTTCTGAGGCAAGAGTCCCTTTTCGCGGTGTCAATCGGAACGGTCATTTAACTGTAGAAGTAGAGTTATATTTGAATGGAAAACTGTAAATTATTTAGCTTTTGTGAAAACTTCGCGTTATATATCCTGGTGCTAAAATATACCATGGTGGAGCGTCCTTCATTCATGCAGCTTTTAAGAATCCAAAATACCGGCCGACAGATACATTCCGGTTCATTGGCTTTTTTCTGCTTGGGCTCACTCCAAAGGAACACGTTTGTGTAAAACTGATTTGCACAATATGTACTTCAGCCTTACGCAGTCGACTTGCACAGTTGCTTAGTGCAAAGCAGATGCAGAACCCACGTAAAGTCCTGTACTATGCGAAACGCTGGAGTTATGAAATTGATCTAAAAGTTTTTTTCCGAACAGTGGAACACTGAAAACTAAACACGGCTAGTGATTTGATAAATTACTTAATATGAGACGGATTGTGTAGCGAATACCGTCGAATAAAAAACATCATAAAGGAGAGATTCTGTTGGATTCCGTTGAATTCCCCGAGCACAAAAGTATATTTCTCAAAGACCTGATTGCTTCTCAGCTGTCCGTGTGTGAATCCGAATTAATTACCACGCATCTATTTTTGTACCAAACTAATGGTACTTTGTCTTATCTCCATAGATGTACGGCAGAATCATTTACACACTTTGGTTTGCTGCAGACAAACGTGCGTCAAACTGTGTGTCAAATAGAGTTCTTCGTAGCAAGTCAGCTGGTTTTTTGCACAGGCAGAAATTCCAGGCTGGCTTTTCCACTGGAGCCGCACTTTCTGATCAGTGCGCGATGTGCATCAGGCAGCTTCGAGCATTTTAATTTGCCACTGAGCCAGATGCACAAACCATTGCCATTCATCATTTTATCTTGCAACTGTTTTAGTTCATACCAGACTGCCTATAGTTTATTTGATCTCTTGCATCTGTTACATCAGCGGTATCCAATTCTGGCACAATACACTCCCCCGTGGCAGGAAAAATACAGTCGCTTAGCTTGCGCATTCCCATTGAATCTATGTTAGGAAACAGTCATACAGAATCGGTTTTACTTCAAATGGATGATGAAGTTGACGGCTAATGTTGGTCTTCTGGGCTCACCCTATCCGCATCCTCTTCTAGGGTAAAATTTAATGGTGTCTCTTGTTATTCTAAAAGAAACGTTGCAGAACGCATTCGAAACAACCGTGAGAAAAACATTCTTTCAGATTCTTCCGAACATCTTTTAAAAATATCTTATAAAAATTACGCTGTAGTTCAAGAAAACAACATCAACGGATGAAGTGGAGCTGAAGGCTACTTGGTAGCGAACGTGATATTCCAATTTTGACCCGTTTGTGCTACTCAATACTCTTATCAGTAGTTTATTTATCATCGTGTTTGGCAGGGCTAGCATGTCATCATAAATTAGAGGCGAGATATTTAACATGAAATTAGCATTTCTAATAGAGCCAACAACTGAGGGCCTGACAGTCAAAGAAAAAAGAAAGTTTCAGTTTATTATAGTAAGGTTGGAGTAGTTGGTTTTAGCAAGGAAACCGAAGCCATTTGGCTTATGGGTTGAAATGAGCAAATCAAAATCCTATACGCTGGAAATTTGGTCGGAGGTTGTATAGTGTGGCTTAGAGTGTGGAATTGGAGTCTGATCACAAAGTGGCAAGAATTCCGTCGAAATCATCTGATGATTACCAATCGTACTATAAATTGTGGTTAGTTGTTGTTCCTGGGCCAACCAATTTTATTTGTTCAGATTTTCTGCCTGGCTTAGCCACGATACAAAGGACGAAGCTGGGTAATAGATGACAGCTTGATGTTGCTGTTCTCCCTCCAAATAAGTGCGTACCTCTAAACTCAAACGCCAACGATTGAATACGGCAAGTATTTTAAAGTAACTGTTTTTTAACGCGATACAGACATTTGTAAAGTAAGTTGGCGTTAATTCGACTGAATCTCAGTTGAATCTCTCGTTTGTGATGTTCTTCAACTGAATGTGTTCCACCAGTCCGCATCGTGTTACAGTTGATACGATATTCGAGATACCGCAAAGCAATGCTGATAAGGTTGCTGAATACTCCTGGACAGCACTGACCGGCTTTGACGTAGGTGGCGCTCATCAGGTGGCCGCAGTCTCTGAGTCTTCTTTAACCTTACGTCCTACTTGGACCTACATGGTAAGAACTTCCTCAGATACACTAACTTGCATACTAATTCACGGGGGACTCACCTTGAACCAAGGTGAATACCTCGATTATGCTATTTTCAAACTGAATGTGCAGCATTAAGGCGGTTTCGTTTTTTTAGTTTTCCGGATACCTGAGACAGTGGAGTATATTTTCTTGACTGAACAATTATTGTACTTCATGAGATGCCGAACGGCCTTTGCTCAGCGTATTTAGTTGAAGAATATCATAGATGACAGAATCAGTTCAGTTTCCCCTTAACACTAGGTTGATTCGCAAATAAGTGTATATTACCAATTTCAGGGAATTTGGTTTTGAGTTGGAAAATAAGGTTGATGGAAATTATTGGACTGTTTTTATCATATGAGCCCCAAAGCGACTAAACTGTCGGCTTGATACCGAAGACTGCTGCTTACTCAATAAATAAGGCGTTCGGCTGAAAAACGTTTACTTTTCTGCTTTGTAATAAAAAGCGTTTGCAGAATATGCTCCATCAAGCCTAACGGGCTCTCTGGTTGTCGCCAGAAAACTGTTCCAGTTTCATGCTAGCGATGTCCTTTCCATATCTACAAGCTCCATGTTCTTCCTGCTGTTCTTCATCGTTCTTGTCATTCCTCCTCGACTGTTCACATTGGACTCGCATAGTTAAGCGTGAGGCTTCAAATAGAGTCTCTGTTTTGGATTTGCACACCATCTAACTTCCGTCTCGCCCAATTCAGATATATCTGATCAGAGTCTCTGTTTTGGATTTGCACACCTCCGTCTCGCCCAATTCAGATATATCTGATCGCTGCTGACGTTCCAGGTGAAGAAATCAGCAGCTAGAGCAGAAGCACTTTAGCCACCCACAAGCTCTTCGTCCACCTTAATGGGTTGGATTCTCGTATACAGCGCGCACTCTCAGAAATGGCAAAAATTACATTCTTCTTGGAAGTCCTTTATATTGGAATCTAGGCTTTTTATTTGTGACAGTTTTTATTACAGTTGGACTAGACGGTAATTGATAGAGAGAAAAATGCATTGATGCTTTGTTGCACGCAAAAGAAAATTGGATATTAGCACCTTGCGGATCCACTGATGGGAACATGATCTAGCGTTCCTATCATCAGTTGGCTTGTTGGGTACCTCTAGCGGTATTCGTGTTGAACCGTGGTTCAACAGATAACGTTCAGAGGTAAAAAAAAAACTAGCAATATAGCGCTCGCTCAGTCTACGCTCTCTGCATTTGGTTGTGATTTCTACGGCAAACTGTACTTCGCTGTCCACTCCCGCGAAATTTTCTATTCTCTGAGTGATTTCTAAACAACTTACTCAATCGTAGGGCACAAGGACTCGTCAGTGAATATTCCGAGACTTGTTCATAGTTTAACGTTCATT